TCTCTTCAGCTGCCATAACATATCAAAAACCAACATCACTTTTTACAAAGGTCCCTAGTTAAAATCACTATCACTTTTGTTCTCTTGTCTCTAGAGTATCGAACCTATGACCAGAATATGGTATATCTCCACTTCCTACACTTCTATTACTGAAGCTCTCATAGGCCAGGATTGCACATTTGACTCCAAAGCCCTCCACGTTCTTCATTTATGTTCGCCCGAGTATTAGCCATATGCTCCTTAACTCTTAAGCTGATACCCTACCCGTTCCTCGTATGCAAGAAGTATGTATACGACACCTGTCTTCGCACAGTCACTTAATCTTCCATAGGGGCAAACTATGCAGTACTCCGATATGCACTCTACATTACAGCCTGTCTCTTACCAACTGCTATCTGATATTTCTGATGGAATGTTAACAGCATAACATCATCTGGCAAATGGGCTCGAACAATGTATTGAAGGGTCATACGAGAGAAACAGTGCGTGTTTCATGAAAGTCATCAGGGGAACTCGTAAGCAGCTCGGAATCAACTTACGAGTTCCGCTGACGAGGTCATCACAAACAAGAAAGTGCACACTTTTGCTAATGGTTTTCCCAAAACGCTACTGATCAATTCGTTTCGAGACCGTTGTCTCCAACTTTACGGTGCACCTATGATCCTTCATGTAGGTCCTCATTAGTAAGACAATCTCGCATTGAGCGGATTCGAACAATGGTCAGTTGCTCAATGGCCTCATTCTAGCCAAATGCCATCTCAAGACATGACAAAAATTTTAAAACATTTGAAATTGGTCACACATGCTATGGATTTTTTCCAATCAATTGTTTCCCCGAATTGCCTGCCTTGGAGGGAGTTCACCTGGCGCTGTCTTCAGGTGATCTTTGCTAAGGGGACTTTACTACGGGCCTAGGTATTTCTGTCCAAGCAAACATGTTTATATCTGACCGACGTTTGGCATCAACATTTTTGAAAGTGGTTGAAGAGCAGCGTCATTTAACATGTGTACAGCGAAGTTACATGGGACAACGTACAGTTTAAATTTCAAAATTGTTCGCAATTGCTGCACAAAGACATGTGTTAGACTGATGCGACGACACTTATGTTAGCAATCAGCTTATGGTTTTTTTGAAAAAGTAGAAATTCGATCGGTGTGTTCGCTTACGCAGAATTCCTAGCATAGAAATCATGCGATGTTAAACTAGGAGTTTTTGCCGGTGGTAAAACATGGTCTGCTTACAAACCTATCATCAAACATTGCAGACTTGCCTTCACTAATCCAAACATCGTGCAACCTTTAACACTGACTGGAAATCCCTTATTGCGTGTGGTAGGTGGAGTATTAGAAAAATACAACACTGCAATCCCTCAATCCAGCGAGATATCACTACAATTCACCTTCTTTGGTGGATTGTTTTATTCCGAATTGATGTATTTCTCTGAAGCTCTACCGTTGTTCTAGAGTCAAATTACTAACGTGAAGTTTCTTGAATCTATCAAATATGGTGGAACTGGTTGAGAGAATACGAAATTTCAAATTATCTGAAATAGGCATAGGCTTTTTATAATAGGACCGAGGAAGCTTTGGTATGGGCATTAACCGTCTGAGGTAGTTTCCTTCTTGGCTCTAATAGAGCATCAGCAATCAGTCACCTGCAATGATAAACAAATGCCACCAAGAATGGTAGCTCTTGCCTGTTCAATTTGGAGATCTTTTGGGATAATGGAATGTAGAAGGGCAATCTTAATCTTTTTTTTTCGATTTTTTAAGAGCGGAGGATTTTTGAATCTCGGCCGTGCCTCTTGTAAGGTGTAGACTTGTTCTCAAAACCACAATTCGTGATTGACGCTTCACGCTGAGATAAGATTCCTTTTTGCAATCCCTTCATTTCAGATCGACTTAGTGCGGCAATCAAACAATGCTTAGTTCAAGCCTAACTGTCAAATGATGTTATTTACGCTATTAACATCCATAAAAAAATAAAAGTTTAAGAGTTCTTTACGATGTAGAATGCATATCAGAGTGCTGCATTGTTTGCCCCTACGAGAAATTAGATGATTGTGCAAAGACAGATGGGGAACAGAACGGGGGTACTATGCTTAAGAGTTAAGGAGCATATGGCTAATAAATAACTCAGAACAAGAGAACACTGTCGTCAAGACATAGGTTCGAAGCATGCGCGGTGAGCTAAATGTGTATTTCTGACCTATGAGACGACAAGGAAAGTGCTAAAAGCGGGATGAATCTTTACTGGTAGCCCTGGCATGAGTAGCATAATTAAATTTGTCCATAACGAGATCCGTATAACTTGACTAATTCGAATATTGGAAAAAGCGCATTTATT